CCCCCCACCCTTTCAGCAAAACACCTGTGTGCGTGTGCGTTTGTGCGCATAATGCACTCAGGGAATCCCCGGAATGGACGCCGCGTTAGATGGTTGGATGAAATTCGATACCAACTGCGCGTGCGCGTGGATGTGCGCTCGCATCAAGTGTGTTTGGCATGCCCGTTGACAGCCTATTTCGTCGCTTCACTAGCTGCTTAGCTGGTACTTTGTACCGGTTCAATTTCGTGTTCGCAAACCGTGGCTAGAATAACATCCAAACGAGTAGCTACTGTGGCAGCCTTAGTAAGAATAACATCCAGGTCCCATAGTTTAGAGGTCAATAAAAAGGTGACGAATGGGCGATGCTAACAACGCGGGCTCCCTGACTATTTCCTATTACTAAGACGCTTGAATAATCAAATTAATCCATATTTTTTTCAAAAGAAAGAAAGAAAGAATCCTTAATTCTAATCTGATAAAAAATGGTTGTTCGTAGTGGAGAGAATTTGGATGTTTTTTCTCTCCGTATATCCATACATATATGATCGATCAACTTTACCCGGCTAACCCAATTGATCAAAAGCACTGTTGTGCGGGCTAATGTGAAATCAACCGTGTATTGTAAATTTAAACGATATTTCGTTCAAGGAACATGAAGACCGGTCAACATGATATTCAGTCATCCAAGAGTTTATCTTCATGTAAAATTTTTAAACAAAAATTATAATAATTCCTTGATGGAAGGAAAATGCGTTCCCATGTCTAATGCTTGCCAACCCTTAGTTTGAATATAGAATCCATTTGAGAAAAAATTAATATTCGATTTTTTCATAATTAAAGTAAATCGATTGCCAAACTTAAATACACACCAAAACACAAGGATGATTATGATATTTTGATATTGACTATTCATCACATTTAAACGCTACTTGTGAAGCATACTTTTATTAATTTGAAAATGTGGGTGTAAAAGTTACTCACCGATCTGTTTATAATTTTTTTCCTTTATTTTAGGAAGCAAAATGTTTGCACTTGATCTGAGCATAAACGGAAGAAGGGATAAGGAAGAATCTTTAAAAGAGACTTCCAATTCGAAACCAGATTCTTATAAGGCATCTTCTCCTCCATCGGCGCATACGTTTCATCTTCCCTCTCCAGCTTTGTCTCTTCTCAACTGCTACTACCAATCTTGGTTATTGAGTGCTCTTCCACTCGGTAGCCCTTCAAGTAGCTGCAAATCTATCGATTCTTACGAAAGTTCGATCAATAATGCTATTGATTTAGTCATTAGAAAATCAAAGAAGTCTAGCGTATCGCCGACTACCTCCCAGTCGTTAACCTCCTTACCACCTCTTCCGCCTTTGACTAACACCGCGAGTTCGAAGTCACGATATCAATGTCCCCACTGCCAAAAAGTGTTTCCACGATCCGCCAATCTTAATCGTCACCTTAGGACTCACACCGGTGAGCAGCCGTATAGTTGCAGCAAATGTCATCGGAGGTTTAGCATCTCCTCAAATATGCAGCGACATGTGAGGAATATTCACCAGTTGGAAAGGCCTTTTGTCTGCTCCTTCTGTGGAAGAGCTTTCGCACAAAGAACCAATTTGGAAAGACATTTGCGACATCATGCTAATGAAGTTAAGGTTAAGAGGCTGTGATAGAGATAAGAATTTTTGTTGAAATATGATATATTGCAATTTCTACACTCAAATCCTGTCTTTTTCACTCACTAAAGCACATTTCTGGGAATTCGAGCCTTACAATGGGGAGACGACTTAGTTTGCTGTATGAAGGGATATCGGAATTCTGTGGAAGGGTATGAATAGAGCAGCATCACAAACAGCCCTATTCATTTATCACATCATTGAAATACATATGTGTTGTGAATATGAAATACGACCATAGATTTGATTGGCTATTTAAGTGACTAGCGTTTTTAGTCTGAGGGGTATTTGAAACATTTAGTACTCAAGTAATATGGCGAAATTTTTTTGGAAAAGAACGAGGCTAACTGGATGTTGAAGTAGAAATAGGGCTGGAGATGGGGGGTTGGGGGAGCGTGAATGCAATTTAGAAATAGGCCATCATTCGTAAAAACAGCGGTTTGTGATTGTGTTAAGTTAAGCGAAGTATGTAAAACGTAAATAAAATATTCAGGCTTTCTGTTTTCCATTAATGTACAGATTATTTCATTTATCTTGAAATGATTACTGCAATTCTTCCATAGGTATTTTTGGGAATATTATAAAGTAGTCAAGATTCAGACAGTCAACTTAAAATAGCTATTTATTTGGTTAATTATATCAAATGGCAGGAATTACGATAGTTATCATTGGCCCTTTAGTTGACTTCGGACTTCACAGAGAAGAGGAACAGATAAAGTCGCGAAATGTTGAAGGGGAACAGAAGAGCGATTCACGAGTGTAAAAGAGTTTGACACAAAGGTAGAAAATTAAGGTAAGGTGAGGTGAGAACTATGGAAGTGGTGGAATATGGTATAGAGTGGGGTCATGGTAGTTTGAAGTCAGAAGTCAACTGTCGGTTTTTAAACATTTTGGCCGTATGAGTATACGTTGCCCAGGGTGCCCCACATGGAGGTGAGTTAACCTCACGCCCCACTTAAAAAACTGAATCAGTGTTGGCGATTTATTTCCGTACAACTACAACTAAGGCATATATTATGTTGTCGTAACGGGGTGTGCGATAGACTTACCTCTACGTGGTGCACCCTGGGCAACGTATAATCGTACGGCAAAAAAGACTATTTACCGGCAGTTGACTTCTCACTTCAAACTACCATCACTCCACTGTATGTCATATTCGACCCCCTACCACTACTTATCTTACCCTTTCTGAGCCTTTTGTCTCTTTCTTTTACATCTGTGAATCACTCTTCTATTCCCCCTCCCTTCTTTAATCTTTGAAACACCCTTCTATTCCCCCTCCTGAATTCTTCCCACTTCGATGTTTCTCCTCCCCTCCGTGAAACTCAAAGTCAACTAAAGAGCTAATGATAACAATCAAAACGCTTGCCATTTGTTGTAAATAAACAATCGTAAGAGTTTAAAAAAGAATTGGCTTGTATTAGAAATTGAGAAATATCTACGCAACACTTTCAATAAAACTCTCCACTCAACAGTTTGTTATAATGGCCAAATCTACCCATTTGGAAGAAGTTAATAACCATTAGAAGTCATTGTAATTTGCAAATTTTCTAGACCTATTCTCAATAATTTTATATGTAATTGAATTGGCAGAGTTTTTTTCACCTAAATCAGTTGATCAAGGTAATTCAAGGCCATAAGTCCAAGGGAAGTAGCAGAAATGTCTTCTGATCACATGAGGGGGGGGAGGGGGTACATTTGGTATGTTTTTTGGCAAGCTATGTCAAGTTCTACATGGCGTTATTTTGATCAACAATTTGCGCAGTTCTGAAGAGAGAGAGAGAGAATGAGATAGGGAAATAATCTTTGTGGTGACATCGATGCTGAACTCAATAGAAGTCAAGGCGTTCCAAAGTCCACATCTCAGCGACTTGGTTGTGAGAGCAAATTACCTTTGAAGATGAATGCAGTACAGAGTTGCCTCTATAATCATAGCCTTCATATCATAACCTGTTTACAGAGTTCCACGGTGAAGGGAGCTGCTTGGCAAACTAAATCTTCCCAAACCCAGGCACGATTCTATCTCCTTGTGTTCACTCGAAAGATGAGTTTTAATATTTATTTATATCAACTGGTAGGCATTATGATAGTTATCATTAGCCCTTTAGTTGACATCAGGCCACACAGAGGGGAAGAAACATTAAAGTGAAAAAAGCCGAGAGGAGGGGTAGGGAAGAGAAGAGTGTTTCAAAGATGTAAAAGAGACAGACACAAAAGTAGACAAAAAGGTGAGGTGAGTACTGTGGAAGTAATGGAATATGACATAGAGTGGGGTGATGGTAGTTTGAATTGAGGAGTCAACTGCCAGTTAATTGCCTTTTTTTGGCCGCATGAGAATACGTTGCCCAGGGTGCACCACATGGAGGTGAGTCTACCGCGCACCTCTGTAAGTTTTTCTATAGAGAGTAGGTTAGTATTTTACTGTTTTGATGAGAATAAAAAATAACTGGAGCTGTCTTTCGTCACGCCTGAAATCTTTAAGAATTCATCCATGGCTTTCTTCGAACAATCCAGGTGGTCAATATTCATCATTTGCAGGTACGGCATCTGAAATTCTCAAATTTCTATTTTTTGATCACACAGAGATTCACTATTATATGGGCTGTTTGAGAGATAAATTCCTTTTGTTAAAATTGAAAAGCTCTTACGCGATAGCTATTGCTATTGGTCCGAGTACTGATAAATAGGATTCGCTTTAGATGCTTAACATGATTGCGTGTTACTGTTCAGGGATTGGCGACCCGCAGTCAGGGTTGGAGGTAGTGAGAGAGAGCAAGAGAAGGGAAGGGGTGTGTGTGTGTGTGTTTATTCAGCGATTTCAAGCGATATAATTGTCATCACTACTATCAAATTTCATGTGTGTGCGTATGTGCACATTGGAGGCGGCTTACGGCCTTCTCCTTCCTTTGAAGGTGACGATGTTTTCATTCGTTATTCTTATGACGCATCCTTCCATGGGGGTGGGGGTAGGGGAGCGTAGGTGGAGGGGTGAAAGAAAATACTCGTCTACCTCTTACGCCGTTAATTTATGATCACATGCTACTTACTGATTCGGATGTAATTTCATGTTGGACTAGTAATGTGCTGAGACTTCGGTATTTTTTGATGGGTAAATTCAATGCGCCACAGATTCATGCAATAGGAATGAGTTGCGAAGTAGGAAATCAACAAAGCTACTCTGGACGTTTACAATACCCCATTAGACAAGCATTAAGAAATGAGAAAATGATTTGAAGATCAAAAACCAGGTGACTGATATCCATTTAGTATTCATCTTAGTACTAGCACCTAATGATACTTCTATTCTATGCCAACATTGATTTAACTCGCTTGGAGAGATTTGGTAATAAATAAGTGTGAGAAAACATATTGTTCCTTAAAGCCAATCGCAATCTAATTTATTAATCGGCTAAATTCTCCGGTAATTACACAATTTGCTGTTATCAATGGCAAGGAAATTCTTTTCCTAAATTAAAACAACTTGGATTTTTGCATGCGGTTCACAAAAAATATCTTCACTCCATTCATCGGTATTCTGCATGTTTAAAACTCAAATCTGGGAGATAAAAGGCGCACAATGTATTTGAATAAATTCCAGGATCATTAGGAAGAAGATGAGTTATTCAGCAATTGGTGTATCAAAACAGGTTAAAACGCAACTTCCCGCCACAATTTAAATTCAAATCCCTAAAAACGATTTGTTGGGTTCAAGCAATACACACACACGTCTTCATTTAGCATTTTGACAATAAGTGAAAAAAGTTTTCATATTATACCTATTTATTAGTAGAAATTAATTAATTAAAGGAGGAAGCAAAATTTAGCTTCGAGTTGTTTTTTAATACTAAATATATATATATATATATATATATATATATACTTTGATGAACCTTCCCTCTGCGAAGCCCGAAGTCAGCTAAATGGCTAATGATAGTTATTAAAACGCCTGCCATTTGAAATAAATAAATAAATATATATATATATATTTATTTATTTATTTATTTATTTATTTATATGTGTGTCTTATGTTACTTAGATTACAAGTTCCGATAATTCTTTAAGATTTGTCAGTTGCCAAACTTACACCTCAGGGAATTTTCATCAGACAGTGGCAAAGAAATGTTGCAGTTACCAATGTTTGAGATCACTTGTCATCAGGAGTGTCAGATTTCATCACCTGACAGAGCCTACCCATCATTGCTTTATTATTACAATAGTCACTGGAATTAATGGCTCCTTCCCGCTCTTTACATAAATCTTACCCCAGCGTTGTCCAAAAGACCACCCTGGATGACAATCCATTTAATTACCAGCGCGAAAGTCAACTGGAGGCCTCTATTTCCAAATTATTAACAGAAATTTTGCGGAGTTTTTGACTGTTGCCTTGAGGAAAGACAGAATATTTCAAAACAAATTTTTCAATAAAGTATGTATGATAGTCTATGAATCTAAATCACGCCGCACAGGGAAAACTTTTTCATTATAATTATTTCAAATGACAGCCTTTATGATATTAATCATTAGCCCCTAAGTTGACTTCAGTTTTCCCCATGGTTAGGGGTACATATATAGCGGTTAATTAATAGTCGTTCATTAGCTGTCTTCTTGCTTCCCTGTATCTCTGGGTTTCCGTCGCTGTCTTTAGAGCTGGGCAACGAATCAAATGGGTCTTCTCCATTTCCTCCTGTGGGTTACATAGGGGTGCATATTGATTGAGTGCATACTCCCAATCTGTGAAGGTGTTTTGCCAGACAATCGTGTCCGGTACGTAGTCTAAACTCAGCAACGGCTTCGATTTTTGGCCAGTCGGCTATGTCGAAGAGTGTCACTGTCCACTGTTTCTCCTTTGTTCGAGCTTTAAGTCCGCTAAATCATATTGGGTGGGCAACTAAGTCATTGCCGTTTTTGTTAACGGATTCACTCTATACTTTCTTTTGTTTTGTTAACGTGGCCAGAGCATCTAACCTATATTTTTTTCTTACTGTATGGGCTTC